TCTGACACTTTTCGGACACCTAGTGGAAAACCTAAAAAGTCGCTTTTCTTTTTGATTACTGGATCAATTGCTTTGCAATTTTTAGTGGTTAAAGATGAAATTTTCTCAAGAATGCTATTACTTTTATTTATTTCAAATATTTCTGTTAGCTCTGTGAGATTTGTTTGCTATGACGTCACCGAACGTTCTGCGAACGCATATGCTGGCACTCCTTTTCATGTTCTTTTGATCACGTGCCATCGAACGTCGGTGGTTCGTAACGAAATCCTTACTTTGCTAAGATTTGAGGAATGGTGAATGGCGAACAGTGCCGTACTTGGTGTTATATTACAGTAGTGACTCGGATCGTTGGTGTTACTACAGTTGTGGGTCGGATCATCTTGCAATTTCAATTCACTAACTTGTAACTGTCTCGTAAAAGCGGGGCTTGCAGTCACTGTTATAACTGATGTCTTTAAATGTTGGTGCTTTTCTTGGAATGGGTAAACGTGTCCATATATGTCAGCATAGCTCTCTTGTTAGCTGAACTAAGCAAAATTAATAAACACAATGCAATTGGTCCTGATAATATTACACTACAATTCATCAAGTTTACACCTGACATTATATCTTCTTATTTAGCAAGTATATTTTCTTTGTGTATGAAAAATGGAATGTTTTCATCAATTTCTAAAATTACACCATTTAGAGTTACACCATTCCACAAAGCTGGAGATCGTAAAGTTTCGTCAAATTATCGTCTCATTTTAACACTCTCCTCATTTTTCAAAATATTTGAACGTTTTAATATACAAATGCCTAAAACTTTATTTTGACAAGCACAACGTTATAAGTGACTATCAGTTTGGTTTCCGCGAAGACTGTAATTACCACCCATGCCGTGATTGATATCATGGAATCTGCTATGGATGATTTAGAAAATAACAAAACTAATTGCAATGTTTTTCTTGACTTAACGAAAGCTTTCAATACTGTAAATCATTCTATATTTTTAATCAAACTGTCCATGTATGGTATTTGTGGTGTTGCTACAAAATTATTGACAAGCTGCTTGTTTCAGAAAAGTCAATATATATGTCAAATTAAATTCCACAACTTCAAGTATCTCCAAGTATCATGCGGAGTTCCCAGGGGCTCAATTTTAGTCCCTTTACTTTTTATAATATGCTATGAAAAATGCTACTAATAGTGGAACCAGAATGTTTGCTAATGACATTGCTAAAAGCCACCACGGTGCTCTGAAAATAATATAGTATTCATTATTTTATTCTTGTATTCTGTATGGTATCGTAACTTGGGGTTGTTGTGACAAAACCATTCTTAACAAACTACAACTATAGTCCAAAATAAAGCTATTCGGACTTTGGGGTGTCACGCTGGGCTTAATTCTTAGTAGTTACTACAAAATCTTTCGTAATCTTAAAATAATAGATCTACATTTTTAAAAAATAGGAAGGCTCGTGTATCAAGCGGTAAATGACATTGAAAAACATGATTTCTGATTGGTATAATATAATATAAAGTGTATACCGTCATAAACCTGATTCATGTCAGGAGAGTTGTTTTGTTTTAGTGACCATATGGTCTTCGAGACCTACTGTCAATTCCGTTGTTAGTCGTAAATTTTACTTAATGAGTTATTTTTTTTTATTTATTTATTGGCTAATTACTGGATGAAGAATCTATCTGTCTATCTAATAATACTACAAACTCTATTGAAAAATTCGATGTCGCCGGTGGGTAATTTATTTCGTGTGGTCACGTGTCATATTACCTCACTATATAAATGTGACATTTAATGCCTATCACAGGAAATGGTAATAAAATACTTATTTCAGAATAATTGTTCCAAAATCAGTTTGGGATTCCGCATATTTAATTTCTGTTACAAGTTCTCATTTTGTGGATATCGACCGACATTTGTAATTTTAGTTGAAAGCACAGAAAATAACAAGTATCCTTCAACACATCACAACATAACCAACTCGAGATTTTGAGTAATATTGTGCCAATTATTTATTATTACGACACGTTTTGTTTAACTATAAGTCACGTGTAAGGCTGTGTAAATTTATGTTAATTCAAATCAGTTTTATTCCTAATAGCCTACGGCAATGTAAAAGAATAAGATCATTCTGGAGCATTTACCTGCAAAACATCAGTTTAGCAAAATCTTTTTATCGGAAACAGTATTTTGTGGATAAAGAAGGATTCTCATGCTCGTTGCTGAATATTCTCATTTTAAAACAATACTCCCATACTTTTGGATTTATTGTTTTATATTATTTGTTAATATCGTATAATAAAATAATATTTTAATTAGGCATCAGAAATAATGTCATTTGATAATATATCTTATAACATTTTTTTATTTCCCCTTTTCCACTTATCTTAGTTTTATGTCGTTATTTATAGATTGTTTTTTAAATATTTTACATTCCTATTTATACTTCACTTGAGAAACGTGTGACTCAAAGGTTTTAGCGACTTAAACGTGCTACTTTATAGCTGTTACGATTTAAAATTGTAATTTGCCCAGGGCAATTACGCTGAGATTATAAATTTGTCAACAGCATATTTTATTAAAATGAATCATATCGGCACATGAACAGCCTCCAGGTCATTACATTCAAGTTGAATTGATCTGACGTGACATAAACGAAACTACAAATATCTAATTTTGCCACGTAAGTTCCTCACATATTGTACGTAACCCTATTATACAATTTTCTATATATATATTTGATAAATAAACAATTATGCCAAAAACATTTGCTGAGATGTTAAAGAAATTTCATTTTTGATATTTTAAATTTGTGATCCTTGAATTTCATAAAAATCGTTCAAAAGCTTCAAAAACCTCTATTTCCCCATTTCGATGAATGATATATATTAGAAATCAGATGAAAATAATATCTTGTTTGCTTGCTCGAACACAACCTATTTTGATGTATCCCAGTATTTTATTGGCCTGCTTTCATTTTAGTCAAAGTGCCGAATATGCTTGAGATTGGGGTCAATCTTTATAGCAATAGCAAATTTATCTCTCACAAATATAGTGCAATAGTGGGATCTCAAATTCGTTTTTAGGTCTTAGACCAAAATGTGTGACTATGGTTTAAACGCACGTACGCTTGTTTTCACTGCTATGCCTGACAGAAAAAACGATAAGTATAGACACTTACATCAAGTAGCCTTATTTATTAGCGATTAATAAGCAATTTTCTGAATTTCGTTCACGGTATTGTTTAATTTGATTCCGAGAGGATAATCAAAAACTGCAAGAGTGTCGAATAAATTGCTTTTCAGTAATTTTGTATCTTATTTTTGTGATTTTTTTTCTGCATATATTGAATGTTTCATTTTACAAACTGTGGAAATTACACAAAACGTGAATACAAAAATGTTGATTATCTCGAGAGTGAAGTTCACCCTAAAGATCTATTTGTAATGACAATGATTACCCGCCAAAGTTTGATAAGTTTAAATTAAAAACTACTTCAAAAATAAATGTGGCGGCAGTGATCTAACATAATTGGTACGTACCATAATTTAATGCATTTTATTCAAATTTAAAGACGTTTTTTTAAGGCTGTGAGAAAATATTAAGAGTACAAGAGGACAATTCAAATTTCAGTTATTACTTACTTTTAGATTTTAGATTGTTAACGGTTTAAAAATTGTCAAAGTTGTTAATATTTGCATTTGGAATTAAAAAATTTACTTATTGCCATATTAATTTAGAGATCGAAATGATAAAGCGTTAGCATACAAGTCAGTTTTAACCATTCGACTTGAGCTTCAAAGTACGAAATTTTAATCTAATATTTTTGGATATGATCTTACACAATTACTGTATAAAATTACGAAATCAAGCTTATAAAAACTTGTAAACTAATATACTGTATACTCAGGTCGCTCCGCTCTCTTGCAAACGAATACATCGACGAAACAATCCAACGCTTTGTGAGTTAGGCCTACTTTTCACAATTTCATACGGCAAAACTACCCGTGGAATTCTCATTTTTAGTAACCCAAGCAAAATTGCATTAAAATGCAATGATTTGGACATTAGCTTATAGGAGAGTAGTTATTCAAACTTGATTCTTGGCATGGTTGATCTGTATATACGTTTTATATTTTTACTTTTATTCAAATATGTTGACAATATATTCCATTAATAATTTTTAGCGTATTTAAGAAACGACACTCAGCATTTCCTTTTTCTAATAAAAACAATGAATCATGCGAATCAATGTTACAACGAATTCAATTATTCAAGTATTTATATCTCAATTTTAATGACTACTACTATTTAAGAAAGAAATTCGTGACATTTCAATATGGTTTTCCCCTGATTTGTCCGAAGATATGTTAGAGATAATTTATTTCGAAACTGTCGATTTATATACAAAACAAGAATTTTTTTTTCGAGAGGCTAAATTTGTTATGAAAATACAACTACTTTTATTACATCCATCTGAAAATCGCCGTCGCTGCATTTTTATTTGGAATAAAATATTATTTTTAGCATGCCGTTTTATCTAGTCTTCAATCGCATTGTAACAATTAGTGAATGTATGAATAGTATATATACCGTTTTTGTTCATCCCTTAGTTCTATATTAAACTATGGCATATCTAACTGAGGGCAATGATTTGTCGTGTAGTATAGCATACACTATTTGATTTGTCAGCAAAATAGAGCACTATTCTTTTTTTGTGACGTCAAACTTATTTTCATTATTGTCATGTTTTATTCAACTTGTTTTAAAGTCAATTTGACAAACAACTAGTGAGTTGTTTTTAACGCGTTTATGGTTTGTAACATGAATAAGAGCATTTTTCGCCCTGAGGTTATCTAAAGTAGTATGAAACAGACACGCAATGGTCTGAAGGAAAACAATTTTGCACAACCGCAGTCAGTTTATAGATTTGCGAGCAGTAGACTATACTTTTTACCTAATATATTATAACTAGGTTTCATCCAAAATACCTACGCTTTCGATGTCGTCTATTTAATAAAAAAGTATTTTTCATTGCAGTATAATATTTGAATAATGTGGAAATTTACTGTTTTTTTGCTTTTTGTTGCTCCACTTCGAGAACAAGTGTCAGGACAAGACATTGTGTGGAATCGTTTTCCAACTATTCCAGAAAGTATAATTTTTATTCGTTTCTGTTTTCGTTTCTGTTTGTTTTAGAATGTTAGACGATGCAGCAAAGAATATTCAGATTTTAAAAGAAATATATTGAAAATCATGTTTAGAATTGCGATGTCTTGTTAAATTACTAATTGAATTTTTTCCGTTACGTTAGCTTTAGTAAACACCCAGTAACCTGATTTTACTATTTTCTTCTACCATACAGTTGGTTTTCCGGTGGATTGCGTGAAACGGTGGGGCGAATGCATTGTATATGATGGCGGGTCTTACAGAGTAGAAGAAGTCGTAGTCGATAGTGTTGCCGGTGGTGAATGCAATCTTAATTACGAATTTGGTATGTATGTAGCCTAGTTAATAACATATCTAATTTAACATTATTTAACATTTCAAAGCATATATGTTCTTATTTCAAGATTGTGACAGCGCGGGACCGGCTCCAGTTGATTGTGTAACAAGTTGGGGACCTTGTCAAAATGGTATTCGACGAGAATTTGTTACGACTGCGGCACAAAATGGAGGAAAATGTGTTACGCGAACCGAAAGTAAGTTGTTATTCAGAGATTTTCCATTTTTGTTGATTAAATTAAACAAGTTTGTTTAGGTAGTATAATATGTAGGACTAGTATGGTATGTTTCGAAAAAAAAAATGACTTCAATTCTGTATTTCAACGTTTCATAAACGATTTAAATTGTAAGACCAAATATCATATTATTACAAATGTTTTTTCCTTTAGTTTAGAAAATTATATTACTTATTTTATAGCTTGTGCTACTGTCCCACCCCCTCCTGTGGACTGTACAAAGGCCTGGGGTCAGTGTCGAAACGGTTTCCGGCTTGAGATTGTTGTTAGACCAGCGAAGAATGGAGGAACTTGTTTCTTAGATCGCGAAGGTATTATAATATAGGAATGAATTAATATTCTCAAAAATATAAAATAAATCGAATATCTTTCTGAAATTTACATACTTTTATGAGTGAAACATTTTTCATCTAATACATACGTGTTGCGGTACTCCCGAAGTATGTGAACCAAGATGGCGGACACCGGAACGTAATACGTGTACCAGGTTAGGGGTAGGCCATAATTTCAGGTACTGGCTAGTCCCCAAAGTCGTAATAGAACTAAATAAGGAAAATTGAAATAAAACTATAGCCTCAACCGTAATCTCGTACGAATACTACGTTCCGGTGTCCGCCATCTTGATTCACATACTTCGGAAGTACCCGTGCTGCAACACAGTTAATTTTATTGTACAAATGATACCTTCTCAGCTTAATGATTTTTTGTTGTTGTTCACTTAAAAGAGTGTGGAATTGATTGTGTCAAAGAATGGGGACGATGTATCAATGGTTTTCGACGCGAACAAATCATAACGCCAGCACGAAACGGAGGAGAATGCCCCCGAACACGACTTGAAAGTAAGAGATTTCATTTTTCTATTCATATTTGGTGTCACTATTCCAAACTATTTGAATTATCAAATGTTTGACACTCTCATATTCTGAACGTGTAGTCTGAAGTCAGTCAATAAAGACAGGTCATCAGATGTTACTTGGATTCGTCCAGTGATAATAAAATGAACTTGAACTAATCTCTGCAAAACACAAGAAAGACTGGACCAAATGGAACTATAATTTTGAAAAAAAACACTGACATGAAAAAGAATTGTAGTGCGTCGCATTGGCCGGTGAATTGAGTTTCAGAACTTTTTGTGGCCATCGTATGACCCAGAGACTCGACTTGTCAGCAATTGGATAATGAAATGTATTTATTTACCCAACACAGGCCGTAGGCATGTTCTCTTCAAGTTTTGACACTTCAATGAAGTGCTTCATACCTAATATAATTTCTGATTCGTATTGTTGTATTCTAGTTATATACCTTGGTTGTCTCTCTTTGTCTAAGATAACTTTATGCTAAAAAATTTCCTAAAAAGACGGTCACGGTTAGCGGTTACTGGAAAATGAACCCTTTCTCCCTTCTGATATTGACCACGTGATCTCTTACTTGTAAATCCAGGTGAAGCTCTTTGCAAGTAACCTTCTTATTCTTACTTACTCTCATCGCTAATTTTTTAACTATTATTTGACGACTTCTGGTCTTGTCTCTTGCAAACAGTGTATAAAAAAGCATGTGCATTTAGGATGCGCCGTTGATTGTCAAAAGAGATGGGACACCTGTGTGGGAGAAGGGCCATCCTCGGCCAGGCGGGAGGTTGTTGTTGTTCCAGCGAGAAATGGCGGGAAATGCATTCTCAATGAGGAATTCGGTAATATAAAAAAGCCTACCCGTTTGTAGATTATATTAATTACAAATATAATTATTCATGATCTATACAATTTTAGGCTGTCGGCCCTTTAGTCGCGTGAATTGCGTGAAAGAATGGGGAAAATGTAAAGGAAATGGCCCATCATCAGTCAGAGTAGAAATCGTTGTTACTCCAGCTAAGCATGGAGGAACTTGCGAATTGAGAGAAGAATATGGTGAGTTGATATTTACAACGCGTGTTTTGTTTGCTTGAAAAATCATTCATTACATTACGTTCTTGAAAAATCAAATATAAAACTGCGGGAAATGCGTTCTCAATGAGGAATCGCAGGCTTGTCCATGAGACATATTTTTCTGTCCCATTCCCATCCCATCCCCAATTATGCTTGTCCCATCCCATCCCATGGGATTCCCATTGGAATACAATTCGATACAAATTGTTAAACTTAGGTTTAATGTCTACTAAATAGGACTAGATGTACAAATAGACATGCAAAACAACAAAATTTACTGACTTGTAACTTTATATTCATAACTATTAAACATGTGTCCATCAGCCCCTTCACAAAGTACATTGTTAATGCTGAATATATTTTGCTCTTTACAACTAACGAGAGAGCTATGCTCAAATATATGGATACGTAGTCCATAACGAAATGTTTCACTATCATTTTCCCAAAATTCATACGGTTTTCGTGTCCCACGTGTCCCATGGGAAATATAAATATGTGCTGTCCCATCCCGTCCCATGGGACGTTTCCCATGGGAATTTGGTAATACAAATACCTGTTTGTATAATATATATATATATATTAATTACAAATATAATTACTCATGTTTTATATAATTTTAGGCTGTCGGCCATTTAGTCGCGTAAACTGCGTGAAAAAATGGGGAAAATGTGAGGGAAATGGCCCATCATCAGTCAGAGTAGAAATCGCTGTTACTCCAGCTAAGCATGGAGGAAATTGCGAATTAAGAGAAGAATATGGTGAGTTGATATTTAACACACGTGTTTTGTTTGCTCGAAAATTTATTCATTGCATTATGTTCTTGAAAAATTGAATAGAAGTATTGGATGTGATGGTGTTTACGGACTTGATTTATAACGATTACAACTTTCTAAAACAGGAACAACTAATATTAAGCTATCAATTGGGTTTCTACGTGATTAACCACCTATCCTTTTTACATGCTTTTGTTCTGGTAAATCCATATGAATATAATGCAAGGATGCTGTAGCAAGAGTAGCAATACGGATAAGTTGAATAATGTTTGTCTAGGGAAGTCTGACCTTCGTCAGACGAAACGTTACAGATATATTTGTGTTAGTGTGCAGCAAGACTCTTGAATCACTACTAATATTTAGGTTGTCGTTTCGACCCGGTTGATTGCGTGAAAAAGTGGGGAAGATGTTCTGGATCTGGATCTACTTCCAAACGCGTCGAAGAGATCGTTTCGGGAGCTCTCTATGGCGGAAAAACATGTAAACCACTCAAAACTGAATTCGGTAAGTCTATGTGTGTTCACGAATCGTTGACTTTTCTTTTCTGGGCTAACAAATGTCTTAAAATCTGAAAAAAAAGCTGTACAGAACAGTATTTGTTCCCACGTCTTGTGAAATACCAATGAAAATAATATTAATCGATGAGCATTAATGTAAATAATGATTTATTGTATATATATATATATCGTATGAGATATAATTACCAATTAACAATGAATATGTGGTATATTTTTTAATGTGGAATTTTTAGAAAATGCTGACCAATTGTAACTTAAAAATACAGTGCCGTTTATTACAACAGATTCGTATACGCATTTTTAATGAAGTATGAAATCACCAAAATCGGCGATCAAACAAATATTAAATATTTACACAAAACAATAACTTGCAACAAAATTTTTTTATTTCAAAATAAGGCTGTCGAAGGGCTCCGGTTGATTGTGTTAAAACGTGGAGTCAGTGTACTGGTAAAGGTGAAACTTCCCAAAGAAAAGAAATAGTTAAAACATCCGCTAGAAACGGTGGAAAACCATGTAAAGATTTCAAAGTAGAAATGGGTAAGAATATATGTGAAGTCATTTTATATTATAGTCTTTTGTAACGTAACGAAATTTTATTTTTATGATTCTGACTCTGATTTTCAAAGTCATACATTGTCCATTAATCAATGTTTCAAAATACTATATCACATAAAATGGCCAAATATCTGTAAATCTTTATCACTATCATGACCTGCGGTAGTGTGTAAATGTAGAATGTATGTCATTTTTCAAGTGAATAAACTTACAATTCTATTTGCAGTAGAATAAGCAGGGCTTTTTGAAATTCAAAGAATTCCGACTTCACTTACTTGTTACAATGGTAGTACCATAATAAATGCGAGTGTTGAATTTAAATAAAAATCAGGTCTAATGAATCGTTCACGTTCAAATAATATGCAGGTCGCTTTCTAATCGTATGCCAACATCGTTTAAATGCAACTCTGTCTAATCGTTAATCTCCCGAATCAAACTTTGCATCAGTTTAGTAAATTGGTAATAAAAAATGTAACATTTTGTGCAGGATGTGATAAATCTAAACCTCCCGTCGATGATGAAAACGGAGACGATACTCCCGGTAAAGAGTTGGCAACCCTTTTCCTGGCTAATTTAGTCTCCGAGCCATCAACGTCTGGAAAATCTACTAAACCAGTAGGTACAGGGGCGAGGTCGCTAAACTTAGATCGCGGGCCGCCGCCGTCTCCCGCGGACTTGGGAGAAACGGATTTAAAGAAAAACTGCACCGAGAAAAAGACCAAAGACGGAAAAGTTATTGCGCTTGGATGTGACAACGTTGACAACATCGATCCTGAAATTAAGAAAGAAGTGGAAATTAAAGCGTTCAAAAGCATCCGAAAGGGAGAAAAACAACCTCCTTCCATTAGTCGACGAAAACGATCAGAAAGAGGTGCAAATGTAAGTATGAATTACTATACCCATATCTAATATCTTTCCTAAATCATACAATGCATTCCTTTGACATCATATCTAAATATGTCAAAGTAGAAAATTGAATTTCATGAAACCTTCTTATTTTATTGCTACTTAAAAACAATCTCAGAAAGAGGGAAAATATTCATACTGTAGAGTGTATAGGAATATCTTGATTCATTTTAATTTCTGTCTTCAGCCGGTCTCAAAAGTTAATACAAGAGACATCCTAATATACCTTGATTCTAGTGGAAGCGTTGGACCTTATCGTTTCGAAACTCTCAAAGAAGTTTGCAAAGCGATCGTCGATGGTATTTATACTTTATTAGGCTGAATTTTTGCTGTTGAAATCAACTGGTGAATCCTTGGTTATAAAATAGAATTAAAATCAAATTCTTGGTGCGGTTGTAGCTATATTGATTGTGGATGAATCAGGATGCAACTGCGTAGATATATAAAATTGAAATAAAGTAAAAAACATTTATTGTAAAGTCATGTAAAATATAAATGACGTAATGCTAAAATTAAGTAGAAACAACGGACTGAAACAATCACAGATTTAACTCTGTACTTTACAATTTTAATTCTTATTTGTAAACGTTAGGGTGCTTCAAAGTGTTTCTCTCTGACGTGGATTCCAAATCAAGAAAATGTTAAAACTTCACAACAAACTGCGCATGCACTGTCTAAGCATTTGGTTAGATAGTTACGTATAATGACCATTGTTTTTATGTTTCTTTCAGTATTATGCGGAAGAATAGCACTTGGGAAATATCAGACGAGAATTGCTTTGGCAACATTTAACGCTAGACAGTTACTCAAGTTTCCTTTTACTAAAACCGACAGCGTAAAAGAAGTAAAAAACAAAATCCAAACTGTTGGGTAATATTTTCAAAAATGTATTTAGTTAAATACTTTTGCTGTTTCTTGAAGGTACCAAATCTCGAATTGGGGTTTCTAATAATTTGCATTCGTAGAAAGAAAGAAAATATTTATGAATTATGCTCTTACAATCTTCATTTTATGTAACGTACTTCATTTCCCACGAACATGTACATGTAACACATGCACGTAAAATAATATTTATCTTTTTTGAATTCTTTACTCTGTATTTTCAATCAGGTACGATTACGTATACTCTTACCAATCCTGCATCAGGGATGCCCTGGAATTTGTACTGACAGATATATATACAGCTGAAAACGGTGCAAGAGATCCTTCTTACGCCGAAGGAGATATGATCATGATAACAGATGGGTGAATATTTAGTAACCTGGTCATTTATTATTTGGAAAAATCACTATGCCTTTCAAATTTACGATCTGCGAACAAAATTGTTTAATGTGTCATAATACCTTCGCAGTGAATCTTTTAAATGAAGATGAATGTATTTGTATATTAAGTATATATTTACTTAAATTATACCTAAATTTATGAAGCAAAAATAATTACTGACAAATATTCAGCAAAACCACGAAATCGAGCTAATGTTTATGATTGGGTCTGAAAATCTCCATGAGTGAAATGTGGCTGGGCGGTTACTGAAGTGTCAATTCTTTCGTCACTTGCTAGTTAGCCAATACTGAGTTACATAAATTAACATGAGAGTCAGTACTAGGATAAACTCTTTGAGACCAATGTTTATTAATTCAGAATTTGAACATTTCTGAATTCCGAAAAAATATACAGCTGGAGACAATATTTTTTAATGCAAAGTTTTAAAACTCATCATATATATAATATTATGGCCGTTTTTCAACAAAAATCCATGTTAAATGCAGGTGTGCAAACTGCGATTTCGACAATGATGGTAAAGGATTACAACGTGCCGCCTACAGATTGAAATTGAATAAAATCAACGTTTATGCCATTGGTGTTGGTATTGAGGAGAACTGCAGAAAAGTATTGCAGGTTGGTTACAGTTGTTACATGTGTGTAAGCTTCGAATGATTTTTTGCGAATTGAATTCCGAATTGGAATTTTCGTTTTCGAGTATTTTCGTGTCTGATTCTGTTTAGCAGAACATCGAGTCATTTATTCTGAGTATATGTGAAATACATTTCGTCTGTCATAAAATGAATAATAAACTGAATTTTATGGATAAAGGTAAAAACATAAAAAAACATTCAAATGCACTTGTTTCGAATAAGTACGAGTGTAGATTTCATCTAACTAACTTTTATGATATTCGCCAAGTGCCTTATTACCATTTGCACCATGATGCTAAATTGAGAACGGCCACGAGTGAAACAAATACTGCGCATTGTTACCATTGCAATGATAATTGGTAATTTACAAGATAGCTCATATAATAACATATTTGTTGAACTAAAAAAAGATAAATTGAGCGTACCTTCGGACGAAGATGGGCCTGCGCCTATGTTATACTATGCTATCTGCATTTTGAAATTGTTTCATGGTCGATTGTTGTTACAGGTATTAGCCCGTGGAGGTCGATGCTTTCATTTCTTCTTTTTGGACAACTGGGATATCGATGTAGAACAATTTCTGTACCGATTAAAACGGCCACCGCAGGATCGTTGCTTAGACAAATGGGAATATCCCGGAGTTAATTGTCTAAAAAAGCCATAAAAAGTATATTTTAAATTGTCAGTCCCACATTTATCACATCATGTCCGATTCTCGTTTATTGACCTCTGCATTTCAAAGACTAATATTAAAAGGACATTTGATTCACACCCATAATTATAACCCCAGTGTATGGTTTATGGAGTAAAAGTTTCTAACTTTATCATTTTATAAAGTATATACAGAATACATTCAATTTCATTCAGCGATATTATTTGGTTTGTATCAGATAAATGGTCTATAATATTTAAGAAAGTTGAAATGTCATAAACATTATATATTATATATATATATAGCTGTATATGAATAAATTTGTGAACGTTGCATATCAAAAATAGTGATATATACATGAGTTTGTAACGGATACATAACTACGGAGATCGACCGTTGGGTTAAACCCGAATTTCAGACTTTCCTGACTTGTTACAGTAAGGGGCGCTCCGGAAGTATTCGTACCAAGATGACGCACAACCTGAACTAGTACACATACTATGTTCAGGTTGTGCGCCATCTTGGTGCATATACTTCGGGAGCACCCTGTAAGATCTATCGTCTTTCAAACATGAATTTGCCTTTGTACCGATTACTTCTTACTGCAGAAAAGTCTTATTCGGCAAAGTTGATTTCGTTTATAACGATTTATTCCTCACTCGTATCTTTCAAAGCACTCGGGTATCAAAGCTTTGATTGTTTTTGCTGTTTCCAAGTCGCAATTTATGTGCTTCTGAAACTAAATATATACTTACCTCAATCTACTCGCATGCTCAAGTCTAATATGCTACCCAGTATAGCTTTCAACAATTTGGCACACCCCAGATACCAGAGGTTCACAATAATCCCCTTTTTCACATGATTTTATCCGAAACAAATGCGGAAATAAACTAGAAAATAATCAGTAAAGACCGTGGTGATAGAGACACCGCTGAAAAGAATTAAAGTGAAGTCAGGAACGTGATTAGACTATGTAGATCACCGCAAAGTGGTTGCATATATATATTTTTGAGACGCTAATAGGATATAGGAGGCGGATATATATCAACAAGATGAATTAATTAAATTGAAATTCAGAATCGAGAGATTGTATATTTCTTGTAGATCGTATGAGGGCTCAGAGGAATTGCCTCCATAATGAAAATGGGATAATTAACAACCTTTAACGACTAGTATTTTTCCCCGTTAAAATCGTTCATAAGCTTGAACTCTAGAAAGCCTTATGCTTTAAGTTAAATGCTATAGGTACTTACCTAAGCGCTACATTATACTAGGGCCATGATAGCAGATTGTTAGTTTACCAAGATTATCTGCAGTATAGCGCAATTTCCTAATTGTTAGTAAGGCCCTATCTAAAACAGCGAATGAGCCGCATGTGGCCCTTTGTTCGCGGAGTTATGGTTTCCGTAGATAAAAGTGACTGAAGCAGTTTTTTTGTTAGAGGCAATGGGGATTCAATGAGAATCGGCGGAATAGAGTCAATTACTACTCACTAATTACACATCAGTGCACGTATATGTCGAGAGGTAGGTCGCATTAAGGTGATTCAATGTCTTACTTTCCAATTTTTTTTTTCATTTCGTCGTAAATTGAATTATTGCTTCATTCGTAATTTATTTGGATCCTACTTAGTAAGAACTAAAATATTGCATCATCAGTGGTTTCCGAGAGTTTCAAATGCCCATGACAATAGAGTAGATGTTGCAGCTCCGAGTAGGTTTGAGTTTGACGGTAGGGATGCCAAATGGCTCTCTTAATGCTAAAGGTTGCCGACCTGTGCCCTGGTATAATGTAGCGCTTAGTGTACCAAGAATTTAACCTAATTGGAATTCTGTATCCACACCTATATTCACGATGATATTTCCATTGGACTGGAAATTTTATTTCTCCCTATCGGACTTTCTATTGCAGTGGAAATCTTTGCGGTACACGCATTCGATTTCACATGATCCCTCGCTTAATTTATTGCATTCTACAGAAATCAGAGAAATTGGGCAATCACATTTGCACAGAACAGCAATTGAACAATAAAAATTTTCTTCATCAAAATGCCAAACTTTCTCACCCGTGATTGATTTTAATCGAACAATGTTCATTCTTTGTATTATGTGGCATAACATTCACGTCTGTTAAAGTTTTAGGGGATCAAGAAATCGATACTTCCGTCGGCGGAAACAAGCGTCTAACTCTGTTGGAAACAAATCGATGATGTACGATTTCATTCCTAAGTGGGCTCTCCACGTGATTGAAATAAAATCGATGACCTATGGAATTATTTTTATCTTGTTCATATTTGACCGGCGCGTGTGATGCCCCGGAACAGTCCCTGTTATTAGCTGCTTTTGTATGATCGACTTTAAGCCAAAGGAAAGTTTCCATCCAGTCAAGATTATTTTGGGGAGAATCTGCCAGTTTGGTGTTCGATGAAATAAATTGAATTAAAACAATCGATCGTCAAGGACGCGTCAGTAATAGCACGATGCTATCTCAAATAAAACTTTAAGTTAGAACTGGAATAAAAATCGTTATCCAGGACCACCAAGTCGATGAATCATTTTACTTTATTATTTCACACGTACGGCTCATGTTAGTTTTTTAAATTCAAGCTTTCCTGCTCATAAGTCAGGGCTGATGCTTTGTGAGCGTGAGACAGTTTCGCAGAGAGTACGTCTCGAGAATATTTTCATCTAATGTAGATCAACAGTACCTGATCATATGCAGTTGATATAATTCGTTTTCAAATGCGAAAGGATGTATTTTATCACGTACATATTTATTTTTATCATCGGCAGTAATCTGATAAACGATACAGCAATGTCCTTTTCAAACATTTATGCTTCAATTAAAGTTAATTATTAAGTACCTTATGTTGCAATTGCAAATTGTTTGTTTATCAAACATTTAGCGCCTAACTTATAGCAGTAGACATTGATTGCAGTTAACGTTCGCCAAGTATTGCAATTCAACCTAAAGATTCATTGCACGCTGTGAGACAAGGTATTAGATAAGTGAGCAATCTTTATTTTTGAACATGTTCCAATTTCAAAGAATTGAGATTGAGATTTAGAAGACTACAACAGAAAATATTGATGAACAATCACGAATCGACCATTGTACATTTGTTGAATTAGCGTTTCTTGGCTCCACCCCCCAAAGTGCGCAAACTTTCCATATTTGAAACGAAATAGAAGTAATGCAAACCTTTGATATTTCTGTTAAATTATTTCGATCTACCGGACATCACGCAATGTGGATAAATACAAATAACCACCAGGTCACAATCATATGATAAAGAGCGCCGCCTATAAGCAAGGATTTTGAAATATTCCTTAATGTAATTGAGTCAATTCTATCAACTTATAGTACATCTTTGTTGTGTTCAGTAAAAGGTAAATGAGGGTGAAGACTCCAGAAAAAGGTAAATAAAACTCATTTTATTTTCACCTAAATATTTACATTTCACGAAGAATCACAATTTTTCTAAAAACTTCAACACATTAGAAAGTCTGATTGAACGCACGACTGATTGAAAATTTTTAATTAAGAATTCGACTTTGACAGATTTATTTCTAAAAATTTCAGCAGCAATTCAATCTGTCGGTCTGTTTTACACCGTTAATTAGACTTTACTGTTTATAGCGTTCTCGTATCTCCTGACACAATCTGGACTCTTGGATTATAGCATGACTTTTTCAGAAACGCGTCCTGTAATAATCATTTCAAAAATTTTTAAAATAGAAAATAAAATTTTATGCGAAAATTTCGAAATCCCGATATCTTGATTTTCAAATAAAACTTTGAGAGACTTAATCAATTATTTATGATGTTCGCTGTGATACGCATTGCGTCTTTGCGTAATAATCAGGCTACGTCAACCGAGCGTAAGAACTTCATTAATATTATTATATTTAAGCCGTAAGATGTATGGTAATAGTCTTTCATAAACAAAATTTCGCTATACTCGATAAACTCCGAAAATACAGCAGCTCTTTATCCCAATGAGTTATGAGTAACTTCTGAGTATGTATGGCATGACTGGCTGGCATGTTATGACGTATACTACCCTACAATAAAGTGATAAGTTAGGATCAAATTAGGGGTTACCTCACTAAACTCAAATTTTCTGTAATTCTGAAAAGAAATTTTATGTTTAGGTAGACTGAAAGATTTTGTAACTTCACAACTTCACATCTTACAAAAAAGAAAAGATAAAAGAAATTTTGTATTAACTGATATTTCTGCGAATTAGGCCAACTTTTTATAATTAGTCTGTGTTGCGTTAACTCGAACTGTCGCTTTCCTTCGTAATAATAAACCTTCCTAATGGATAGTAGGATTGAAATTGGGGATTGAAAAATAAACCATCAAAAAAACTTTGAAAACAAAAATCGACGTCACACCATCGAAAATATTCTATACCTAATTACATGTCGTTGGCTACTGGAAAATGTGTAACCGGTAATTATGATTCAGTTCGTAACACCAGCACAGGCGCTAGACCTAGCTTTGGGCGACATCGAGACAAAAAACTTTTAATGAGGTCGGGTATTTTGTCGGGAATGAAAGTAAACGTGCTTTCAACAAATAAATGCTCTATCTTTTGTGTCGATGTTATTGTTTGTTCAGAGGCAAACTGAAGTTGTTAAAAGCCAACAGATTCATTATGAAATGCGTAGCAAGTAGGCCGTTGTTAATCCAATTGCGTTGTGATCTATACGAGCTTTAGCAGCGAAGGAGTCTCGCGTGACACGTTAGGAAGTAAAGTTTTGTAGAGAATAAAGACAATGAAAGTTAGCACAAATAATTGTTATGAAATATCGTTTGCACGTAGAAAGGCTAAGAAATTATGCATACAATTTCTAGTGAAACACTACCACGCCAAGTGGAACGGCAAAAACTTGTGAGTAAGAGAACGCAGAAAGGGTTTTAATTCTCAGCATAACCAATCATGCATTAAGCTGGGCAGAGATTTAAGCTGGGCAGGGTTCATAACAACGTAATGAGTGAACTTATTTGGCAGTATACAGGGTCCATAAAGTTCCTTTGCAATTTCAATTTTGTTATGAAGTCAGTTCTCAATATATCCTAATAACCAGGTTTGTTGTTTTTTAATCAGTAATTGTTCAAGTATTTTTACTTCATGTTACATTTACATCTGCGTGGGCCAAAGCAATATATGGTATCGATAAATTCATTCTTCAATTTTAAATTTCTCAAGATTTCATGGACACCCTATATATTTTCGTATACTTCAGGATTATGACAAAATTCGAATTACTGAGTTAGTACTATTTGTAAAATTGAAATTATGGCTGACAACATTTGTGCTTTGTGAGCAACTGTATGATTATTCAAAATTTTCACTTTGATTCACTCTACCGCACCTTGGAATTTCTGTACACAGTATGCTTCAAAAATTGATTCCAATTCGCCTCAACAACCCGATGACTATACCTGACCAATGTAGTGTATGAGTAATTAGTTGTTTACCATAAAATATAGGAGGATATTGTTTCGACTGCTAATAACAATTCTTTGCGTGGCTTACTAATTTACTTTTCATGAAGTCTTCTACTTGATAAACCACATCGCAGAAAATATTTTAAACAATTCAGAGGCATATTTGCGGATACTATGGGGTAGATATGTATTCCGCAGACAAGGAACATCCAAATAACGCAGGTCAGCCTATTTCTCAAATGAGTTCTAAAATACTGCTGAATTTTTTATATTCAGAAAGTTATAATCATTCAATTACTTTGACAAAACTTCCGAGATGGGGGACATAAATATAACTGGACTTATATCAATAATTATATTTTATTTGATTATCGTGCTGATCGGAGTTTGGGCAGCATGGAGGAAGCGCAAGAAGGGAGCTGGAAGTCAAAGCGAAACCATCATGGTTGCCGGTAGAGATATCGGTCTATTCGTCGGTTGCTTCACAATGACAGGTTGGATACGATACATCGATCTTCTAATTTGCTAATGGAATGCGAAATTTACAGTTCGCAATATCATGCCAAGCCATTGTTTACGACCTTACCCGTATCCATGAACAACAACATGCGTCGATTGCTCTTATTTTTATTTCTTTTGTGATTTATAACTTTAAAAGTCAAAGCGTTGGTACTTTTTATGTTGACACGACATCATTCCTGTTAGTTATGGGCTATCATAACATATTAAAATCATTTTCGCAATAAAAGGAAAGCTGTTGTTGTGCAGCATATCATTATGACAAGTCTTATAATTATTCTAATTATACTGCACAATATTGAACAAAACAATCAGAACATTCAACGTGTATTAGCGCGTATGTAATGAAACGTTGTTCTGTAAACACAGCAATTTTTACCTAGCGGGGTTGACAGCAAAACGGTTCTCAGCGGGTTCACTGTTTGCTCATACTCATGATATTGAGAGTTTTAGGTTGCGATTGATGTATGACTAAGTTAATTTACAACTGAATAAAAATATTGTTTATAACTAAACACAGTTGGACATGATTTCTATATATATAGCCCCTGTTCAATTTACAATTGTTATACATGTCTCTTACCTGCTTTGCGTTAAAATATATATACCCCATCATACGATTTTGTATACCTAATATCTTCAGTCAAAAATGAGGCTGAATAACGGCGTGTAGTAGCAAATTGAATATAATATATGCACATGTGTATATACGTTTTTTTTTAAGCTACATGGGTCGGAGGAGGTTACATTAATGGTACAGCTGAATCAGTGTACACAACCGGATACGGACTCATATGGACTCAAGCTCCGTTTGGATATGCAATCAGTCTTATATTGGGAGGAATATTCTTTGCCAAGAAAATGAGAGAGCAGGTAAAGCCTTTAGTACTATGCGGTAGTATAAATTAGAATAAATGAAAATTGCTTCTACACACTATGCTTTGTACAGCAAAGCTAATCTTAAAAACTTCGAATATTTGCGAACCAGAAATAAACCAAGAATACCCAAAATACAAACACTTGGGTAGTGGTGAACATACTTTGGGTACGTACGAAATCCGGTAACTGTGATCTATTCGTTTAATATCCGCCATTACGCTTTTTCCTGATGATTTTATATTTGTTAATTTGTATAAAACAGGGTTACGTCACAATGCTTGACCCATTGCAACGTAAACTTGGTCGTAGAATGGGAGGATTTCTTTTTATTCCTGCTCTTATGGGAGAACTGTTCTGGTCGGCTGCTATCTTGTCTGCACTTGGTAAGTCTATGGTCGTCTTGTAGCACTGAAATACTTATTTTTGCCTTGTTAAGTGTAACTGCACTGTTTGAAGATTCTTCTAAGTTCTCCCAAGCTTAAAAAAGACCGCTTGTGCCAACAAAATTAGTAATTTGATAGCGTCAGTTTTTTTTAATATGCTCACTAACGCCTCGCAATTTACATACGATAAGCTCTTTCGTATTTTAATTCGTGCTTAAACTGGTAAATAAAATATATAATCTTGACCTGAATTCATATTGTATCTAGATGAACTTTATTCCATTTACACATAAAATTATAAATTGTCACTGACCGATATTTTATTTTAGGAAGCACACTTGCCGTCATATTGAATCTCAATATCAATGCATCCGTGATTGTTTCTGCAATTATTGCACTTTTGTATACATTAATCGGTGGATTGTATTCGGTAGCTTACACCGATGTTGTACAGCTCTTCTGTATATTTGTGGGATTGGTAAGCCTTTTTTGTAAAACATTCCGTTCTATTTTTCAAAAAGTAAAAGTAAGTTAAATACGATTTCGTCATTTCTTTTCCGATATAAATCATTTGGCCTGTCGCGGACACATGCTTCTGGTACGTCATGAACAAAGGCGAAATCGTTTTCCTTAATCATTATTGCAACAGAAAGTTGACAACATTCTCAATAACATCAGATATTCCCTTTAAATTGTCATAGATAAGATTCATTTTATTTACTAACTTACCGATATTCGTGCCATGTGCAACATATTCGAGGTACATACCCGAGCCTTATGTGATTTGCCGAATTTCTATTTTATTTTTCACGATTTTTGCAATTTTGTTTTCGAGATGATTTGAACTGTTCTAGTTGTAAAAATCTTGCATAAAGATTTCGTTCTATCTTTCAGTGGATTAGTGTGCCGTTTGCCCTAACAAACGATGCAGTGGGCAGTATTGCAGAAACAGCCCATACAGGTGAAGGTGGGTGGCTTGGTACTTGGGATCCTGCTACTACTGGACAATGGGTCGATTCAGCTTTGCTGTTGGTAAGTAATTGATTTCAACATCGTCACTATTGACACCCTCAAGGTATACCCAGGGGCATAAAAAATTATCAATTATTGCGCATCGGATAACGCCTGCCAATTATAGATGAATTCAATCTCTCCCAGAATAACGCACTCAGGCAACTAGTCGCGTTACTGATATTAAGCTGGCGGAAAGAAAATCGATTTTTAGTTCAATGAAAAATTAAAATTCGAAGCGGTAATTGAATTACTATGTCTGAGAGAATATGTTTCCGCTATTTCTGACGTGTCAATCGCATTATTCCCTATTTTCTCATCCGACGATCACATTAAACCAGGCACAAAGTTCGGTCTCGCAATGTCAATTATCGACCGTGCAAATAGACCTTAGGCTGCGGATTGCGGATAAATATAATTTATAATTACGTAAGCTTAGGCTAAAAATTAATCTGAAGCAGAGCCCTTTCTATTCCGTTCTCAGTTGTCTGGTAATACCAAGTTCAAATTCAAACACATTATTAACCGCTCATAATATTTATTCTGCTACACATGGCCCATATATATCGGTAATAAGTTTTAGCTGAGCATAAGTGTAAACATTCAGGAAAAACTAAAAATTAATAGGCGACTTTATGCCCTTGAAAGTCGCTTCTTCGAAATACTAAAAAAAACACGTATGTTTGCTAAACTCGGTTCAGCCGATAAAGAAATTGAAGCAAGTAGTAAGTACGTATATTGTTACGTAATAATAAAAGCAGACCCATCGTAACAGAAAATAAACACAAAGTAATTTATTGATTCATATACACAGGAAAATAGGGAACAATAGGACTTTTATATCAAATACAATTTATATATATATAAAAAAAAATATTCCTTCATATATTAGTTTTGTTCAACATAATTCTGTTTATTTTCAAGGCACACTTAGCAAATCGCCCCCCTTTGGGAACCGCCTGTCTGGGGTATACAAAAATATCCACATTCGTTTTAGTTACCTCACTTTCTTAGCGTTGGTATACATTAGTCAGATAGAATAGCAAACGTGCACAGTAAAGTCAATCACATTAAACAATTGTTTCATTTCGACTAGCACGACTTTATATGGTGAAACATGTCCGGTCACACAAAAGCTAATCTGTTCGAAGCACTCTAAATGTAAGAATCAAGTTGTGTTCGATGGCCCGATTTCTCACACTGTGAACGGGTATACTCACAAACAGACAGATACGCTATCCTTACTCATGTAATACAAAGTAAAAATTTATGCAAAGCATGTTTTTTTGTGTCTCGTAATGTATTGTAAATTTGTAACTATACCATATTTCAATTTTTAGATGTTTGGTGGAATTCCTTGGCAAGTGTATTTTCAGAGGGTGTTATCATCGGATTCAGCTAAACATGCGCAGATACTTTCGTTCATTGCAGCATTTGGTTGTATTGTCATGGCGATTCCGTCTGTACTAATTGGAGCCATTGGAGTATCAACAAGTAAACATTTTAATTTTTCACATTACTGGCCTGTGACATTTTCCAAATGCAAGTACGGTAATTGATTCAAGGTGAGAAATTGATCGCAATGATTGCAGAATATTCTGTGACAAAAGCAAAGTTTCCTGTTTCTCCAACTTTTCTCTTACAATTTTATCGCTCGCTCAAGTCTCGAGTCACGAGCCCTCACTTGAATGCGAATAGATTACTGCTGACTAAGCAAATTAGGAGATACGAGTTGCTGATGTCAATAGATGCAAGTTATGCCATTTTCATCACTAACACTCACTTCACTATACGAAATATTGTGACACGTATCAGTTATTCGTTGCTTGTATATTTTATTATGAATATAAAATGAAAATATGTGCCTGGGTAATCATAAACCTATGGTATTACTAATATATATATAAAGTTTACAAAAGCAAAGCACTTCAATAATTAACCATTACCACAAAATTTTGATTTTCCACCATGTTATAATGCTGTACAATTTTTGTTTTTCCTTGAAGCGCATAATTGCTTCTCAGTATCTCATTAGCAAATTCTTCTACAGCGAATTTGTGTTATATTTTGACTGTAAAATGTTCTAGATTGGACGGAAACTAATTACAAAGATGGAAATGGAACATCACCCGAAGACAATGGAGAAGAGCTTATGATATTACCTATTGTCCTGCAATATCTTACACCAACTGCCGTATCTTTTGTCGGTCTGGGAGCTGTAGCAGCAGCAGTAATGTCGTCAGCTGATTCCAGCATTTTGTCGGCATCGAGTCTTTTCACTCGAAACGTCTACAAGCTGGCCGTTAGACAGAGTGTGAGTAAAATTACGCTTTTACGTAGTTGTAAATTGAAATCTTGTATTCATTTATTGATCTATTAAACATGTACTTCTTCCTCAGGCTTCAGAGAAAGAACTTCTATGGGTAATGCGCGCTGCTATCGTCGTCATGACGGCTCTTTCAACTATTCTAGCACTCACGATCAAATCAGTTTACGCTCTGTGGTTCTTATGTTCGGATTTTGTTTACGTTATTTTGTTTCCACAGGTAAGAATATTAAACAAACATTGTGTGCTATACATGAAATAAATAGAAAGTTTAATGAAGGGAATGAAGAGACGGAGCGATTTCCCAAACTGTAAAATATCTTTCATTCTGCAAATGTAAACTATATATATATATATATATATATATATTTTTTTTTTTTATTATTTAATTTTTAAAGGATAGCATATATTGAAATACTATATTGACCTAATTTTTTCAGCTGCTATGCGTGATCTACTTTGACCCAAATACATATGGGTCAATATGCGCATTTACACTTGGACTTATACTTCGTCTTGGAGGAGGAGAACCTGCATTCAAACTAGATCCTTTCATCCATTACCCATACGGAACTAATTTCCCTTACAAGACATTTTCAATGATAATATCATTGATAACATTGCTCGTCATTTCTTACTCCGTTCGATATCTATTCACCAGTAAAATTTTACATGAAAAATTTGACATCTTTGATTGCAATTTGGCGCGCGGAGGTAGAACCATTGACCACTATCTGAACGACGACGACGAAAACTCAAAAACAAAGAAAAAGAAGCCGTTAGATAGACAAACGAGTACAGCTGCAGAGCTCAGGGCCAGGTATAACAAACAAGAACTTGAAGAAGATGTTATGAAAACAACTTCATTCCAAGCGGGATATGACAACATTTCAGAATCTCCATCACCAGAAGGCGTGCCAAACAAAGGATTTGAAGACGAAGACGACCAAGCAAAAATCATCAAAAAATCCAAGTTATAAAAGAGAGAATATTCAAGAATGTGGAACTCAAATATTTTGACAATTATATAGGCAATTATATAAATTATTTGTTCATAATTGTAGCCTATTCTAACCTTGATGAGTGGTGTTCATTACAAACAACTGTTAGGAACAACGATTCAGATCATTACTACTTACGTTTGTAATAGTGTGAAGTTGCCATAAACGAGATAGACAAGGAAATAATCGATTGTGTTGCTGTTCCTTGAATAAACAGTTAATTAACACGCTGTTCTGTCACCTTTTAACAGGAATTCCAGGGCGGATTTGTGCGTTCTAAACCGGAATTATATGTTTGAAAAACTTTCGCATCGCTATTAAAATAATGTAATGTGGACATATCTATTTGTTTGTGCATAAATTCTCATATATATATATATATACATGTATTTTATTTAATTTATGCAAATTGCGCTAAATCTGTAATATTATGAACATATACCTAAAGCAAGTTTCGTAATTCTATAGACATTTTCGTTCTGAGAGGTGGGCTGCGACCTGCGAGTAGGGTTTTGTTTTTTATCAATTCTAAAAAAAACATCGTGTTTTAAAACAAGGGCTTGTTTTAAATCAAATTTTTCTGTATTTTTCGTACTTTTTATTGAAATACCCCCTGCATCGCCGCGAAACTACGCCAAAACGTTACATTCTGGCAGCTGCACACGCAGCCGGAATTATAATTTCAAAAATGTAAGTAAATTTTTTTATTTTGAATTTTACTTCCATTGCGTACATTTATGGCCACGTTTGTATCTCCACCAAAGTCATAAGATTTTACCCGGAATGTTTAGCCGAGATATCAGAGGGACGTTTTGAGTAAGAAAAATCATGAAAATTAGCTCACGAGCCTCCTACAAAAGAAATTAAATCAAGTGCAGTCCTCCGGCAAAACGAGTGGGTTGTGATAATGAAGAATATGCTTATATCGGCGGTAATCTACTGATATACACGACGAGACACCCTAGCAAGGTTCCCTCTAAGCTGCGCAACTGAGCAATTGCGCAGTACCGCCAGAACATTTGCGCAGTAAAATCTCCTTCTCGCGCAGTTGCAACATCTCGTTTTTGGAGCGTGGCTCATATTTTATTGTGGCTCATATGTCATTTTATTACGGCTTAACTAAGATGCTCATTCTATGTTTCACGCGAATTTTGATGACCACTGGTCATTGTGATGTCACACACGTGTCTGTCACGCTCGAGTATCTTGATTTCTGTATGCCAGCGCCAAAGCGATCAGCTGGGTAAGTGTCGCATTTTGAAATTTTCATCGTGCGCTCTGAATTTCGTGTTGTCGACCAAGCCAAATCTTCCTGGTTATTATCCGTAGTGAAGTTAACACAGATGAAGATAGAATTTTAATAGGTATTAAATGTGCCCACTGTTTGTTACAGAAAATTTGCTTGAATCTCGAGATTGGGGCACATGAGGTTATGCTGAATGATACCGAATGATTATATATTAATAAGTATGTTTCACCAGAAATTACTGAAAAGAGTGTTAAGCATTTTAACCAAAACCATAATAATAGTGTTCTTTATCTGGCGTGTGAGTAATATGTATATTCAAGGAAACAAGACTAAAAATGGGAAAATTATGATACTGGTATGAATAAGCTAAAAAACAAAATGCTAAACTTTGCGAAATTTATTTCTATTCCGCGTCAAGGAATGTGATATTCTGCAAAGTTTGTCCGAAAGTGGCACCTGATAGTGATTTGAAAAAGGCAAATCGTGCGTAGGAATGGGAAGTTGACTCTAAAACGCCAATTAAATCATATAAGCACATTAACGCACTAGATGCATTAACATAGAAGCGAAACGTGGGTACAAGAGAAGGTTGTTCGATCTTTTTCACCGCAATACCGACCGCTGAAGAAAGTGAAGTTTGAAAAACCCTGTCAAGAAAAATAAAGCCTCATATAGATAGTGCTCTACCATGTGTTAAGCTGAATTCATCAATATTGTCCCGCAAAGTAATAACAGTCGTATGTCGAAATACATTGAATTGCCACATGCATGGCGAAGCAAAATTTTCGGCTTTGAATTTTTGAAGAGCATAGACTTGGTCGCCAAGGAGGAAATCATGCGGAGCATAAGACAAGCAAAATTTTATACCCTATTTTGATGGAGGCAATGATATTTTAACAACAAAAATGTTGAGATTATACATTAAGTGCAAGAGAAGCTATTTGAGTTTATAGTGCGGTTTGTCCGCATTCCTATAAGATATGATAGGCTACTATTGTAACATTTCACAATGTTTGCAAATAATTTAGGATTCTGCTCAGCCCTAAAATAGTCTTGCTCAGTAAAAACAGCATTTGCGCAGTGTGAAATTTTCTTAGAGGGAACACTGCACCCTAGCCTAGCTTTTGTTAATTTTAAGAGTCCTCTGATGCAAAGACGCCGCAACTAATCTGTTATGACGCCATAATATGAATTTCGAGTTCATGTATTGACATTTTTCTCGTAAAATGATGGCAATATTACGGTTAATACTGTTCGGTTAATTTATGCTCAGCAATCAGCATAGTTTGTTTTTATGGTCGAAATGATAGAGTTTTTCAAGGTTATACAAACTCATTTATTCGATCGCATTTCAATTTTCGCAAGGTGGTTTCATCGCAGCAGGGTCATTCACATAATGGCTTATCGGTTGCGTCTTACTGCGCCAACCACTGAACTACAGCTTGAGAAGGTGTGCATGAGCCTCTATCGATATTTGTGGCGTTTTGAAAGATTTATTGCAAATAGGAAGCGCTTGGCAAGTTTTTACATCCATTTTTCTTCAGTTTATTTAATACGAAAAAATCAAATAGTACAGCCATTTTGAACAAAACAGGCAAAAAAACTCGATTTAAAACAATTCTTTTTGAACAAATCCCTAGCAGCTGCGAGGACCTTAAAGTTGTTTAATGAATTTCAAACCAATAAATTTTTCTTCCATTCCTGATGCAATAGGACACGAAACTATGTGTAAACACAAACCCCCATTCCTTCTGTTAGACGTTATAAATTGCATCCACAATGTTATTTTATTCAGAACGTTCGTTCTGAGCGATGGGCTGCGAGGATCTTGAGTTGTTTAATAAATTTCAAATCAAGGTTTCAAATTTTTTTTCTATTCTTGAAAAAAAGGAGATAAAATTATGCGTTAATATAAACCCCATCTAATTCTGTTGGACATTATAAATAGCATCCACAATGTTATTGTATTCAGAATAAATTTTGAAGACAGAACAAAAAATTTGAAGCAAAATTTTAATCACTAAAGACATGTTGGACAAAACAATTTTTTAACAATTGGGTGCATATAACGGCTAAACAAAAACATAATATCACGAGTGGATGCGGATGAGGAAAAATAGGTTGAGCATAATGAAGTAATATTGACAAAAACCCAAATATAGTTCATAACATGATTATTTTTTCACATGAGCTGTTTTCAACAGTTTGCGTTTTAATTTTCATTTATTTGCAACATGAGAGTCATAGGTAGAACACATTGTTGCATAATACCGCTCGTCACTTTCTTACGACTTGTGACTATAGCTTTGTATACCATTGTGTATAAAAATAGGCGCTCCCGTAGTATGTGAACCAAGATGGCGGACACCGGAACATGGTATGTGTACCAGGTAAGGGTTAGGCCATAATTTTATTCCAATTTTCTCTATATTAGTTATATTACGAGTTCGGGGACTAGCCAATTGACTCCCGTAGTATTTGTACCTGAAATTATGGCCTAACCCTGACCTGGTACACACACTACGTTCCGGTGTCCGCCACCTTAGTTTACATACTATGGTCGTACCTAAAAAGGACCAAAACTGTCCAAATAAAACCTACCAAGGTGTTTCAAAAAATTAAACATGAAAGATTCGAATTGCTTTGTTAAATGAAAGCATGAGGGAACAGTACGTCGAATTGTAAATACCCTTGCTTCTTGCAAAGGTACATTCTATAGAAGTACACTATATTAGTATGTTTATTATATTTCTACTCAACTATATTTAGTTTTAAACGCAGTTAAGACTTAAAACTTAGTCACTGTTTTTAGAAATAAAATAATTTCTTCTTTTTTTAACAACGAGGCAAGAAATGCAATCATAATCTACAATAAGAATACAAATTATTGGATCGGTTAGTCTCACATAGTGCAACGTCATTCCGAGTTTCGTAAGTCAATTTCTAACGGGAAACAATAAATATAAAACTGCAATTTGCTGTTTGCAACGCATTACTAAAAAAAATTTAAAAAATAAATAAATATTTAAAAATAAAAATTGTTCAAAAAGATATTCATAAAGTACGTGTCGTTAATACAGTGCGTGTACATTATGATTGCCTGGCTTCGAAAAAACTCTTATTCGGAAGGGGTTTAGGATGAGACGTTCCAAAACAGTAAATATTGACCATATATTATTAGCGAAAACATAAACCTTAAAGAATGACTGGAGAAATATTATTATTTTTTTCCGATTTTACCGATGAAATCAAACTAAATTTGCTCGATTCGTGCCTGTTTTGCAATTACAAATAAAAAATGAACACAATTACGCGGCAGTTTTTGAAGAAACCTAATAATAAAATTGAATACTGTACAATTTGCAAATGATTATGGACAGTTAAAATGTGCAATATTTTGAATGAAGTTTTATATGTCACATGGCCATCGTATCCGAACAATTAGTGTGGAACGCAATCTCCAACTCTCACAGTAATAGATTTATATAATATACATATGCAACTTTCCAACTTCTCGTGGTTAATTTTTGTATTGCATAGATACATTTTTTGAAGATCCATTCTACGTATAAGTAATTCCATTGAACGACGTTCTTGCAGCACAAATCAAAGGCACAAAATCGGTGTACATATACCAACTATCTTCCACTATGAAGTCGTCAAGGTGTCCCAACGTCCACAAGTACATTCGTAAACAAGGGGTAATTTTCGACATCTACTATTTTTGTGTTTAGGTTGTTGAGCCCATCTGATCTGATTCTGTATGATAAATAAAAAACGTAAGTCAATAAGTAAGTGATAAAATCAATGCCGTGACAAAGAGTAGATAAAACTTAGATTTCCGACGAAAAGATAGTTAAAAGCTAAATTTGTAACATTTTCATCAATTTTGGAACGGAGAAAAATTTGTTCTCATTATATAATAACAGCTAGATAAAACAATAAAAATAATAATAAATTATCAATTACAGTTGGCAAAGCGAAGAAGACGTCAGGTGTCATAAAGTAATGCACACGAGTCGGTAACCCTACTCTCGCAATTAACCTTTGAACACCTGGCTATCCACTGCGGGTGAATGCCAAAAGGTATATAAGCCCGAAGCCTATTATGTATTTCTCAATTGGCCAGAAAAATTACAGAAGAGCATTTAATCCTAATAGCTTACTCTAACAATATTCTAAACGCAATTTCTTTTACCCTCCACGTAATTTGCAGGCCAAGTACGGCGGTTTAATTATAGCTAAAATACGGGCGCTTCAGAAGTATGTGTACCAATATGGAGGTAACTAATTTTGTTCGCATACTTTACATCAAGTTGTGTAAAGAGGGGAAAACCTATGAGCAGGGGGTCTATTCAGTCCCCGAACTCGTATTAGAACTAAAATAGGGGGAAATCGGAAAAAAATTCTGGCCTAACAAGTTAACAACCCTGACCTGGTACACGCACCATAAGAGTACAAAAATACGTACGTAAATTCCGTATTAAATTCAGTAATATATTGTTGATTCACATATACCGCTAAATAGGAAACCAGGCATCCGGGAAATGGGTAGAAAGTTCAAACATTGTGCCTTTGACAGGCAAAGTTATTAATATTGATCGGACCACTCAATTTGCTTATTACCTCTAGCGCTGATTACATTTGAAGATGAATGAAAAGAAGCCAATGGTATGTTTGACTTCATGATACGGTCGTTAGGAAATCAATGCATATTGATGGGGCGCATGCTAACACAAACTAAGTGCAATATGTCAGTCGTCCATTTAGGCCCACGATGAAAGAAATCGTGATATTTGTGCACTTTTTATCGATTATTGTATTTAAATAGGATTTATGCTACTTGTAGTATATTAACTACCGAATAGTAATCATGATACAAAACGTTAGGCTGAAGTTTTTTCTTTTGTGAAAGTATCAATTGCGATACTGATTTATTGCTCTATTATACAAGATTGAAATTGTGTATATCAGCCATATGTAAGACATATATATTATCAAAGTTTTTTTGTTTTTTTTTGCACAGGCCGCATTCGGAAAATCTTTTTTGCAGAGGGCCACTTTGACTGTTATGTCACTGTTACTATTCCCATTTGCTATAATAGTGTAGAATTTGATATTGGCTGACAATGTTGAACCGGAGATGAAGAAATTAACATTAATTAAAACATTAACAATAAATCCAAATTTTGTACCTAGCTGTGAAATTTGTGAAGTAGGCCGTATTCCGCCCATCCCTGTCCTAGTCTATTCGTTACCGCTTTGTGTTTCTTCAGATGTTATTCAGTTTTTGAAACACTTTTTTTTTATTAAATTCTTACTAAAAGTAAGAGATTTTTTAAGGGTCGATGTTTCTAATACTGGTATAAAGTTACATATGTAGTTCGAACTATACCACGGTAAAAATTCAAAATGGCGTTAGCCGAAAATATCCAATAGAACTACATGATATTGGAATATGTGAGTGTAGGAATATGCAGTGCTTGTAACTGTCTGGAATTGCAAACAATATACTAACAAAATGCAAAATAGTATTTATGACGCATGGTTGAATCACGGTAGATTCCCATCCCTAAGATCCAAAGATCAAAGAACCCTTCAATATAGACCGAAACAATAGTTTCTATTCCAAATCAGTTTCTCGTGATTTGCAAGCTTGCATTCTTACCAATACTTCTTCTACGTCCTCTTCCTAAATAATGAATTTCAAATTGGAAAAGTATTCCAGATTTGAAATACCTGAACTTTGTAACAGACACTTATGAAAATGATATGACTAGCCGTGCCCATCTCGTGATGGTTACGGCATTATAATGCAATTTTACAAGCGTCAGCTTGTGTCATAAACCAGAAAACAATTGTCAGCGAATATGAATAATCAAATATTCCCACTTGTTAGTATTACTACAATGTAAATTTATTAAATATATGTATTTTAAGTAAATAATCTGTATTGATTTTTGCGATGCAATCGCTCAAGCCAATTGACACATATGGCAATGAATTTGTAGGTTTTTCTTTCAGTTTATTCTTGCCAAAGCGCTCACTGATAACGTGTAATCTTATGATAACGTTGCCATACGATTCGTGATTTTTTTAAGAAATAATACTGTATTAAAATCCCATAAAATATCTTAACTTAAAATTCACAAAATACCGATCTTCGGACGCCAGACCAACAATATGATCAGTCCGACGATACCAAATTACTTTCATTCTTTGAATAATTCCATACTGAATTAACAGCCCAGTAACAAGAGGAAAATAAAAAATATATATCAACCAAAATTTCCTAAAAATACCAAGGATATTTATTGTCTTATGTACCAGATGTTTTACATTTTAACATGCGCTGCATCATATGGTGTAAGTAACATAAATTTGTATCATTTTTCAAATAATTTTTCGGTACTCCAATAGTATGTGTACCAGGTTAGGGTTGGGGCATAATTTTATTCCGATTTTCCTCATTTTAGTTCTATTACGAGTTCAGCGACTGTCTCTGTTAGCCAAGTGAATATACTCCATGCCAGTAGATTTCAGTCATTTTACACAACTTGATGTAAAGTAGGCAAACAAAATTAGTTACCTTTATATTGGTACACATGCTTCTGTAAATCCAAATTTTCTATTAATCACAACGGAAATTCAATATTGAAAGACAAATTTTGAATAGCTCTCGCGCTCTATTTTAATCCGAATGAATATTGCTATTTCTCTGCCTCTGCAGTCGCTTTAAGGATCTGTCTTTTGTCAAAGGCTGTCAAATAGCCTTCGGAGTAAGTGAACATCCAGAAATCTAATCAATTTTTTAAAGCAAGTCATCATCTTACCTTCTTAATGCAAGGCGAACGTTTCTATCGACTTGACTGTTCCATGGATTTAATTTATCTCGATCGTGTTTTATCATTGTGTATCTAAATAATAGAGGTTTTCGCATCAAATTTGCAGCAAGACATCATGGATTTAAATATACCAAAACTTTTTAATCTACACCTCTACAATAAATATCACAATACCCTCGGTTGGTTCGAATTAACTAACAATTTTATTAATTGAATAACACGCGTATGGCGACAAAAATGTATCACATATATATCAATATGTCAGTATAACTTCATTCTTGGTTGAGACCAGATTTTTCAAACGTATAGGTCCTTTGCTAACCTAAGTTAATTGGAAATAAATTTTAGGAACTACTTCCAGTGGCATTGAACTGCACGAGCAGATAAAGTCACTCACATTTTGGTAACATATTACCTACCTATACATTTTAATTGAAAGAATATATTGGCTTATATCTACAACAAGAATTTGTGCACATTTACAAATATCCAAAACGTTAGCTTAATGCATCATAAAATTTAAAACTATATTTGCCATACAATATTATTAAAAGGGGGAAATATTTTTGTCCGAAATTTAAAAAAATACAGTTACAAACCTTCCTAGAGGTTCTTTTGGTCGAACAATGCTTAATCTCCGAAAATGAATTCGTTTATTGATATCGTCATCCTCTCCTCCCCAACCCCAATATGAGTTGGGAAATCCATTCACCTGTAAATTAGAATTCGAATAAGTTATTGGTGAATTACAATGTCATGAGTATCCCGAACTACCATGGTTATTATACTAAAAGTGGCGCTCCAGAAGTGTGTACCATTATAGAGGTAACTAATTTTGTTCGCCTTTTTTACACCAATTTGTTTAAAGAGATTGAAACCTATGGGCAGGGGGATATTCACTTGGCTAACACAGACAGACCCCGAACTCGCAATAGAACAAAAATAAGGAAAATCGGAATAAAATTAGGGCCTAACCCTAATCTGATACACATACTTCGGGAGTACCCCACAAGTTAATGTGGTCCCTGACGACAGACAATACGTGACTGGACTCACAGGAAGACGGAATTTGAACTGCGGCATAAATGGGGATGATCATAAAGAAGCATACTACAACAGGAAAACAGGCGTTTTTGAAAGCTAGAGTACTTCTCCGTACGAGTACATCTTAAATACATCATACTTTGAATAATTATATGTCAACATCAACGCATTGCGAATATCTCTAATGTGTAAATATTTATTTAGCGAATTTCGTGTTTGAATTGCAAAGGGCATGACGGACAATTTAAAATTGGGTCGGTATCTGTAACGAATATGCAATAAAATATACTTTCAAATAGAAATTCAAACATTTTTCAATAAAATACATCAAAATGTGATAAATTGACAGCAGTTATAAAGCGCGCAATACAAATAAATCAATACCAATATAACTTTACTGCAAAGGCTTTACAATTGAAACAATGAATATTGTCGGTGATAAAATGCATTGTAAAATTTCTTGCTGTTTTCGGGCTTCCTAAATAAATATTTCCTATATGATTCGGGCTTTCCAACAAGAAATTTCAAGAGCAGTATCAATTGAAGTTGCCATTTGCCTCGAAAGAGATTGTTTCATACTATCTGTGGCCTTGAATATAAAACAATATTTATAGAGCTCCATCGCTCAAGTCCACGAATTGCAGAGTTTTGACCCTAAATGTGATCCTTAAGCGTTTTGCTATCAAAAGATGGGCCACCAAATTTCGATAAGCCAATTCACAATTTCTCACTGCTAGTGATATATTTGTCTTTGGATCCCAAAAAATTATCCTCAACTCATAATAGAGTGTTTAAGAACCATCTCATTACCCCAACCTCACTCTTATTAAATAAATTTGGGTTGTAATGTTAGTTAATCTATTGAACTCGCTGTTTAAATTGAGATGAAATAAACACCCGTTCTTCGTCCCATGCACTGCTCTTCAGTGTAATTCGCCCAACATTGAATTAAAAAGGAAGGAAATGCACTCATGAGAAGAAAGTGTAGGATTACAAACACTTGGTAATTTTCCTAGAAGGGAGCAGCGTAGTAGTTTCGAGTCAACATACTTGATATAAAATACAGTAATACCATATCTGTATCCATGTAATTTTTTCAGACCTTGTCGGGCAAACTTCAGTTTTGTGCTCATATTATGATGTAGCCTATATGTTACTAACCAATGATGTAATTTGTCAAACGAGAAAAGAACTTTCTCTGATGCCTCAACGCCTCAAAATTCCAGCAGCGTTTTTATTAGTACATTAATAAATATGGTTTGATATAAAGTTGATTCACCCGAGATATCGTGATGTAACTCACATTGCATATTGCAAACATTTATTTAAATTTAGTTCGACCGATTCCAAAAATAGCTAGGGACGTAAACGAAACTTCTGAGTAACAACTGACTCTTGATAGATAGAAACCAATATGTTATCTTATAGTTAATTATGTGTGGAGCGGGAGATTCCAGCTGCGTCATACATTGTCTTTGAAAAGAATGAAATGAAAATGATTTTTTTAAGATATTGGATATAAACTCATCATGCAATTTCTAACATAAATTTTTTGCTCTCCTTTATTTTGAATAGCGCAGCTCAGAACTTGACCGATTGGGCCAGTTCAAATCAATTTTGCCTCAAAATCACTTTGGATAGATCACTACCATGTATCCAGTGGTGGGATTCAGCCGGTTCGCACCGGTTCTATAGAACCGTCTCAAAAAATTTTAGGAGATCAGCGAACCGGTTAGCTTCACTGATTACTGTCAATGAATGTTCTGTTTGTAACAGAACTGGCTGAAAAATATGATATTCGTGATGGAACCGGCTGACAAAAACCCCACCACTGCATGTATCCCATATAAAGCAGAGTTCAATTTGCAATGGGTTCTCAAAATATTATAATGCAAATGGAAAACATGATGGAATATAAAAACCAACGCGAAGTTGAGTAGTCCATTGGCATTAAGTTTAACCAAACCATTTAGTTACCATTTATTTAGTATCATAATAGTTTTATGCGTCTTAATGTCTACACTATAGTGGCTTTCAGCTCCTATGGTGGATCGGAACCGCAATGAAACCATCCAGAGCGTCGAGAAACCCCTGTGCTAATACTTCTAAGGCAGTAAGAATAAATATATATAAAAACAAGCCTTGCAAAACAAAAAGATTTTTGAATGGTAGCAAGTTTGATAATAGTGGAAAACTTCCAATAGATATTTGATTATATTAATAAAAATATAGACTATCGGATTTGAAGGTAAACATACGGAACCCCTGGACTGTACTGTTGGAATCCTTGGGTGCCCTATTGATCAATACACTATACTGTACTTGATATGGGAAACCAAAAATAGGAAAAGGTTTAATTTTAAACTTGTATTTGAGATCCAACGTTGGAAAATGAAGATTTTGAACCTGGTGCCCAAGCCGTATCGGTACTCCCGAGGTATGTGTACCAGGTTAGGGTTAGGCAATAATTTAATTCCGATTTCCCTTATTTAGTTCTATTACTAGTTCGGAGACTGTCTGTGTTAGCCAAGTGAATAACCCCATGTCCATAGGTTTCAGTCCCTTTACACAACTTGATGTAAAATAGGCGAACAAAATTAGTTACCTCCATATTCTGGAGCGGCGTCGTATTTTGTTGATATTGAACCAATTAAATATATCAAACTATTGCTGTGATTTAAAACAATGAAAATCCGTGAATGCTTAAAAATTAGTTTTCTGTAAATGTTCAATATAAAACTGCACCTTGCGATACTGACGTTCGCCAAATGCAACAACTCCACCAACAGTCATTCCACAACATAATGGTTTGTAATCGAATTTATTTATTGAAGTAGACAAATGATCAACTACGTTTCTCCCCTCTGAACACCTGCAAAAGACAAAAGTATATTAAAGAATACAATGTTGTAAAAATTTAAACAAATAAGGTTTACTGCCACTGTGCGTAAAACAGTGCATGTTAAAATCAAGCAACAGAAAATCCCGAATGACTGATCTACATCCAAATTGGGTGTCACATAACAGGTACACAAGATAATAAATCACAACAAATAATTTTGAAACAACAGTCCATATCGTATGCCATAAAAATTGAATCAATTTAAGCAGACATAGCGTGTTTTTCATTATTAATTATGCTGTTAGAGCAGTCCTTTCTTTAAAGCGTCCGGTCAATAAAAACCTGTCGCGGCACTAATTTCAAAGCAAACTGTAAGGTGAATAGCTGAAGTATGCTTATGGCGTAACTATTTATTCAGTCGTTAAAATGTTCACAGAAAACAAAGAACGAAAAAATCCTATTATCTACATTTTAAAATATTCAATAACTAAAAACGGAAAATGTAAACTAAATACAATGTACGATAAAAACGTATAGGCGTTTTCGATTATATGATTACGATTATAATATTATTTGACAAACAGACAGTGTAGTATAGAAAAAATCTGTCATTATTAACACAGCACTTGTTTTGGTGGCTTCTCCTAATAATGATAAAAGTTACTGTTTTCTTCCAACACGAATTGAAGCGCAACCTCCAGTTCTCGTGAAGCTGACTTACGTTGACAAAAATTCCAAGTCCGTAAGATAATTTATAAAAACGATTGAAGTATTCGATGGGGTTTATACCACAATTACATTCATACGCAATTAAAGAAGGATTTAGCATAAAATGTGACATGAAACAAAACTTGCGATTTTTCAAAAGAGTTTGCTCAATGCAATATCGCAAAAATAGGAGAATTACAGTCAGTTCAATTTATTTCTACTGGAATTTACTTACTGGTATCGTAAGGTGTCGTATTCTGGCAGTAAATCAACGTCTTGGAAAATGAAGCAACTGAACGGTATTCCTGAACGTTGTCCTGTTCTGACAGCAAATTCAAATCCTGTATTCATTAATCTGCCTTTGTTGAATGTTTCTTTGCCCATTTGTGATACCACAAATACGCTGTACCTAAATCGTAAAGAAAAAATGATTAAATAATAAATAGCTACACTTTTGGACTAAAACGTGATCTAGCTAGACCAGTGGTCGGCAACCTTTTTTAATTAGGTGACGGACCGGTATATCCTGATCAAATTTTTGGCGGACCATCTCTATACAAATGGACGTATGTAATAAAGTACACGCGTTTGGAAATTTACGTTGACAATTTAATTAAAAAACAAAGGTGATGCTATTTAATGAGATATTTCTATATCTGTTTGCTGGCCATTCACAGTTTCCAATTTGGAGACATGGTCGACAGTAATATACGTAATGTCGTAGTGTGTTTCTTACATCCAGCCTACTTCGATATTTCGTTTTTGTGGTTGTCAATATTAAAAAACCCGGCCTCGAATAAATACGATGTTGTGAAAGGTAACAGCTTCTGGATCTATATCTGCGTATTGCCTGATGTTCGTTTAGCAATAACTAATGCGTTGTTCTTGTCCGGTGCTGTTTTTTAGTCGTAGGGTTTGAGGTTAAACCAAGATAGACTTGCAGTCAGGAAGGCAATGCTCATTTCATTGTCTGTATTATGCATGGCCATATCTGCTGAGTTTGAGTATTTATGAACGTGTATTTTGTGTCAATCCTGATCGATATTGCACAACGAAAACAACCTATACTTACTTGGCAACCTAAATCTGAAACGCTTGGTTGATTTGGGTCTTATGTATTACTATTTACTCGATGTTTTATATTTTGGGTGAATTATTTATGACAATAAGCAATAGCCACTATCTAAACTCGAATATAAAACTTAGACAAGTCATAAATGCACCTGAAGGAAAATGATTGCTGAGCTCAGGCAATCGCTGTGGTGCAGACATCTTACTGTTTGGCATACATTATTTTAGGATTAATTAAACAGATCCTCAGTATTGTTTGCTAACAAATACAAACCGGGTCATCGCTACTTGAACGTGAGAGTCTGGAATGAATACATTACACAATAACTTAAAATATGTATGCCGGTATATAATAGTCGGGGCATTGGGGCAACATAAGTAATTAATTGCATATCAAACGTAAATTCAGTTAAATGAAACTGGACTGGGTATTACATTTTTACATAAAGGAATTATCCATTACATGAGATATTCTGTCACATTAAATATGCGCATGAAATGGACATGCAATAAACCAAACAATTCCGCCAACGTATTTTATTTGAACAATATCGCATGGCTATGTATAAATATTGTGAGGTGTGACAAGCCTGAATTTATTACCAAATAAAACAAATCGATCTGTACATTGACGTTACAAGTGCGATCTGTCGCTGGCACATTGACTGACAAAGTGATAAATGATCACGTGGTCCGGTCGTAGTCTTGTAATTAGGTATTACGTAAGCCTGACCCTTGAAGCAAATTGACTGCCAGCGATACAACTGACAGTGACATCATTTAAAAAAATACAGGAAGTTTGATGCGTAGCTTGACACGTATAGTGAAATGCAACATGAAACCAAATTTTTGTAAACTTTCGGACCTTGAACTAAATTTCGGAAATAAATTTAAAACGGGCCGTGGATATCGCAATATAATCTTTCAAAGTCCGATATACGAACAGCGTCAGCGTGCTATTTATGTTGAACTGGATAATTTGATTCACGATCAATATATACAGCCTCGGAAAGGGTATTGAATGGATAGTGGCACTATATCGTGAGACGTGAACCACTACAATAGTCTTACGTGAGAATAACAAAAAAGATGTAGTCACCTTTTATATATACTTCAAGGCCGAAATACACTTTATATCATAAGAAATGAAACACCAGATGCAACAACAGTTTTGAATGTGAAATAAGTTCAAGTCGAAACATATTTTCATTTGCAGGAATATCAATAGATCACACGTTAGCAGAATCGGTTCCTAATTCCTAACACGTATTTGTAATTTACGCAGCTACTTTCTCCATGAAGTTTATATTTATTTAGTCTGCTCTATTAGGAACGTTTTGATTCGGTTACGCCTTCTTATCGTGCGACTTGTATTAAATATTGCTTTCACAGCAGTGACGTTAGATTGATACCAGAATAGTGTTGTTTAAGCGTTGAAATGCGATCGATATATAAGCTTGCTACCAAGGCTTACCCACAGCCGTCATCTGGCATTAAAGTATTAAAAAAAACTTAATATATTTTCACAGTATTATTATGAGCGATGAAGAATTTACCAATTGACACTTTCTTATACACGTTGAATTGCCTCTAAAACTGAAGACTTATTTTTTCTGAAACCACATGAATGGCTCTTGAACGGCCCACTTCAAAAATAATTTGATATCATAGACGAACTCGAACAAAAATGGATAAAGTATAGATTATAGTACTTACCGAATAAGTTGTCTTTGGAGTATTGGTATTAGATGACCCAAAAGGATACGTAAATGCTCTTCGCGGTCACGAAAAGGTATTATAATTGCCACCGAATGTTTGAAGCGACAGTGAATTGGTTCGAAAATGGCCGTCTCTTTCGATGTTGTACCGTTTATCATAGCATGTTGTCCCAAATACTTGCATGTTTCGTTTGACGTAAGGTTCCGTACTGGTGGTACAATGTTCGATATAGTCCAATATGTCTCTTCTGCAGCAGACATATTTACTGTGATATTTCCAAACAGATGTGCATCTTCTTGACAGTCCATGTCGTAAGTTGGAACAAGTTCGTTTCTGTACCCCACAACTGTGATGTTTGGGATTACATAATCGTCTATTTTTCTGTAACTCAGTCTGAAAAATCGCGCTGCTTTCCATTGTTTGGGCGCAAACATTACAAATACACCGAAATTGAAAAATGCAAGGGAGCTGACCAGAAGGCATAATTTTGCGGGCGGAAATCGCATATCCGGGAAAGTTTTATTAATTTTGTTATCTATGTGTACTTGTTAGCCTTATTTTAACCAACAACAACATAAAACTATACAAAAATTCAAGCATTATAATGTTAATCACTCGTAAGCTAGAAAAAATGAAAACCTTATTCATATCCGGCTATTAGCTGTAAATAATCAGATAACTTATGAAAAGCAGATACCATGTACCAGGCGCAAACATCAGTACTTGTTTGCAAAACTCCCTCGTCTAATACAGAGCTTCATTAGCTATACCAGCACACTCGGCCTAAAAGAGCATCGCTTTAACTGTTCTGTCTCGCGTTAACACATATCTCATGAACACGTGATTCACAATCTTGACCTACTTTGCGAATGAGCGTGTTGCTAAATCTAATTGCGGTAACCCAACTTGAAGCCGACGAGCAGCCTGTCGTAATAATCATGCCGGCTTGTTGCTTGCGAACCTCGGTTCCTATAAGTGTAAGTTGCTTGATCATTGATTATGTCGCACATTACGCATAAGGCGCGATATGCGCATGGGAAGGAAGTTGTTGGCGTGTTATATACGCACAATGAGTGAAGCTGAAGGCTGACTGGGCGCATGTTTCTCAAAGGGACATTGTGTTAATCCCCAGTGGATTTGTAATTTTGGTTTCTTAAACTACACTAAAGTAAATAGTGGTTCTAAACCAAACATAGAAATCTCGATATTGAGTTGCGATCAATCAGAGATTACGCTGTCTGGTTCTATAGAATTCTTTTTATATTCGAAGCTAGATATTTGAACAAGTCTTCCACGTAAAGTATTTCCCTTGATAAAAGCTAAGTGAATTGTTCTATACTTCTGCGGCAGAAAATTATCTGTGCTGTGCTAGTGTTTTTGCTGATAGAATGTTCTCCAGTTGTATAATTAAATAAATGACAAAGTAACTCTTGAATTTACGTTCAGACGCTGTCTCGAAGCCGCAGGCTGAAATGTGAATACTTTCAACTTGGAATCCATATTTCGCAGCTTAGGTAAATATTAATCTATCCTAGCGGATGGTAGTTGTAAACGTAACGTCAAATGAACCGCCGCCGAGGTTGTCATCGTAAGCAAACATACATATTTATGTCCTCAAAGTTTTGGGGTTTTGCACGAACAAACGTCTTCACAGGAATCAAAATTTTAAATGTATGTATGGTAAGTACACGAAAATTAAATTCTACAATAAAATAGGTCTAAAAGATAATTAAAATTAGGATTGATCTGAAAGCTTAACCATGCTATACCATACCATATCTTTAAATAAGTTTTACTTTGGTATACGTAAAACAAACATTGTTTACTTTATGCGCTTTCACTTGTTTCTGATAAATTAAACGATTTTATGTTTTAAAATTTCTATGTACATAATGTATACTCGATAAATATCAATCATAACATCAGTCATATTCACCTTCCCATCATCTAAGACATTTATAAATTCGACCTACAGTGGGTAAACCAACGCACAAAACCAGTGTAACAACTAATCTGAAAATCTTGAATCGATATTACGAACTTTGCCAGATGCATCATAATACCGTAAAAAAATGAATTTCTTTTTGTTTCATATCATATTGTGATAATAAAATATAACAACATTGAGAAACTGGTAGAAACATCGCTGTCATTCACCATTAATTCGACCAAATAGACAAAAGTCATTGAGCCGCCTGGTATCATTTGTCATTAATTAAGGATACAGGAAAAACCAGCATATTGATGAAATGCTTGAATAATGATTTCAAACATATTGCAAAACACAATCAATGTTTCGTACAATAATTTATGCGTAATTTTTCGCTACATATTCAAGAGATCATATCATCTATCTATTTTCATTCTTTTGTTATACTCTCCTTATCTATCTATGCTGACAGCGTCTGCAGAAATTACTCGAAGTAGTAATGATTTAAACTTTATCTAGACGATGGGTATGCCAAGGCTGAATCGATCGCCAAACAGCAAATTACTTTCAAAGTTCAAAAACTTTATTCTGGTCGTGAGTAATATATATAAAATGTATATGGCTGGCTCACGGTTGAATTATATATGAATCATATAAAACCACTCAAAAACAATAATAGTTTCATTTGCCAGGATTTTTCACCCGTGGCCTATATTTGGCCGAATATAATTGGAGTCAATAAATCGCATTCTCCGTAATATTCAATTTCTCATCAATAATCTTCATATAGATTTAAGCGCATAATTAGGATTCCACTTTCGTCAGACGTGCAAAGCCTACTAATACATCGCTGAATAATTAGGGGGCTTGAAGTATCGAAAGTTCCATCAGAATTCAGATTACTATAATCGCGTATTGATTTATTGGGAATCCAAATTTAATTTCCTACCTAGGATGTCAATCGCATGAAAGTTTTGCATTGAAACTAAATGTTGAAGATTCCAGAATCATCGCTTACAAAAAAATATGCAAGTTTATTAGGGGCTGCTGTTCAGATCGAGATTTAATTAAGAACATAAGAAGCATGATGTGAAAAGTGTATCAAATCTGACTGATTAAGTAAATTCTTTCTAATTAGATCATCAGATTATATATATATATAAAATAGGATTCTAGATTTGTTGAAATTAAACCTCCCCGGATTTTAATGGCTTGTCTGGATAAGACAACTACTTTCAAAATTACATTGTTACATATAATTAAAGCCTGAAACAACCACCTTAAAATATGGCGCCGTCTTCATTTCTCAAGCAGTGATTTCCCAACACCCCCACCCCACCCCTAATGCTGAGGTGTGATACCACACTTCAATTCCTAACCCAAAAGTAGTATTTTAATACCCAGAAAGTGGAATAAATACCAGACCATATGGGTACTCCTGTAGTATGCGAACCAAGATGGCAGCCACCGGAACGTATTATGTGTACCAGGTTAGGGTTAGGCCATAATTTCATTCCAATTTTCCTTATGTTAGTTCTATTATGAGTTCGGGGACTAGCCAAGGGACTCCCGTAGTATTTGTAACTGAAATTATGGCCTAACCCTGACCTGGTACACATACTTTGTTCCGGTGTTCGCCATCTTGGTTCACATACTACGAGAGTACCTGCATATGTTCTGTCAAGTACTTAACAAATTATTGAATGTCACAAATAATTTTATCATTAATAGCTAAATATTTACCACCCCTTAAATTTTGAAACATCCATTAAAATGAAAAGCGGGGGGCATACTTCCCCATTACGCTGAAGAGGGACCTTAAACTTTTCTATGCTCATCCGAACCACGACGATTTTGCTTTAAGCTCCTTTGTTGCTCGTGGGTGCAATTTGTATAATCTGGCAATCAAGTTTGAATTTTTTTTTTTTCAAGTTTTAGTTGTTTTTACCCAATTTTCTATTAGGCTGTCAAGCGTATGAGAATTTCAAGTTAATATATATTATTAACATGATTCATAAATTTAAAAAATAAACAAATTGAAGGCGAAACGTTATGTCCGCATATACCAATCTACCTTCTATACTGGCTATTTTTTTTTAGTTCTTTACATTATAAAGTTCATAATACTTAATGTTTACTTACGTTTTTAAATTCCAACTTACATGAATATTTTTTCCAAATCTCACGCGAAAGTTTTATGCGCTTCAACAATATACAATGTCGGTTTAAGTAAAAGATAAATAAACATGTGCAGCGTGAACTACTATGAATTATGTATACATTCCAATATAAGAGATAAGCTCTACGTTATCCGATATTCTACTGTTAAACTACGTACAGCTGTGATTTCCCACCGGAGAGCGAGAAATGTCGGTTTTCCAGAGAGAGATATTAATATTTCATTCGCACTTCCCAAACGATGTAACATGTTCTAGTCGTGTGATAGTAATCGCTGCTTCAAACTTTAATGCGTTATAGCTGTCATTTTCTTGTTTGATCTAGAATTACAGCCTTGCTTCTACTTAAATTTGTTATTCAATATCAAGTACTTGTAGACACTCAAAATGTTTCGTAAAACCTTCATTAAAATCCCATGAGTGTTACAAAAAATTTTTACCTCGCCCCTTGAACTTTCTGTCAGAAAAATTATTAGCACCGTCACACCCGCAAAATTGCGTCTTGGCAACGTCTCAAATACATATACAAACCCGATGTTCTGAAATCAGCAAGAATATCGATTAGGCTTTTAAATCTTTATACCGCTCTCATTGTAGCTACACACCACGCATGTACACATTAATTAACTTCCGATTTTCTTGTCAAAACAGTTTTCAGCCTTATTCATACGTAAAGTCGAATCATTACATTGTGCTGTAATAAAGATAAAAGCTGTAGCTGCTCTTTAATGACTAATTAAATAAATATTTCGATAATAGTGGCATATTATATTTGCCCTCCCACTTATCGAACGCATTGTAGTAGGCTTCGCATTTAGAGTAATCAGGTTGATGAAATTGGCTATGACGATAATCGTTAATGATCTTAAAGGTAATATCATTTCAAGGCCGCCTAAATGCAAGTTTCTCGTGATATAGGAAAATTATAGAGGTGCCATAAACAAAAAAATAACAATTGTGCAAGCCCGTCCAGTTCTTTCAAAAAAATCTCAGATCCAGAAAATGCATTCTGCCCTATATATATCGACTCTAAGACGTGGACGAACCCAAAATATTAACTCGGCATATATCCGAAATTTAACAGCCTTCATAGCTTAACATAGAATTACGCAACATATGTGCATATATCCTATACAGCGAGATTTAAATATAGTTTCCGTATTAGCGTAGAGATTTATGCGAAACTCGGGAGTAAATAATCCTCCACGGCATCAGAGAAGTCACAAAAAATCTTAACATCGAATGTCCAAATGAATAAACTATTGAAATGCCATACTTTATCATTTGAATCCTCATCTTACACTCGTCAATTTTCACTGTTTACTGTTTGCTTACTGTGCCTGTTCGTTCAGAATCCTAATAAAAATAATGCTCAAATTCTTATAGTCTGTGCGTTTGGCTTAAAGTAACAAATCAAGCAAAAAAACTTCATATCAACAAAAACAAAAATATCGACACACGGAACAGTCACGCAATAATGTGTAGTCCAGTAGTCAATTTCTCTGTCGATTTTTAAGTGTCCTTCAACTACTCTAAGATAAATACTTGTGCTTGTTTTGTCGCAAATTGGTCTTGTTTCAACAATATAAATTCAATGTACTTGTCAACATATGTCCTGCTGTGCTCACTACTCAATATCGAAATCGGAAATGAATCCTAATCCTATAGGAGAGTCAATAACGAAGGATACCTAACAACTCAACACGTGCTTCAAATTAAAAAGCAACAAATCTAAACAGAACAGATAAAAAATTCAACATTGGGATAATGAGCAGAATTTCCCAAATACTTATTGAAAATTTACCAGGATGCTACTTTAGACCTAGTTTTATGATGAATATTCGTAAAATCCTAAAGACTTTAAGACAAGCAATTTAAACACCAACTTGTTTGACTCGTATAATAAAAGAGAGCAATGCTCAAATATATGGACACAAGAGTCGCGCTTCAGTACGAGTACGGTGAGTTTGCTGAAGACGGTCAAGCATTTTATTTCTGAAACATTCGAATCAGAAAAAGTAAATGAAAGTATCTATGAAAGGTTGAACCTGATAAAATTGATATCCCCTGATAAATCAAGAAAAAAATGGGCAGATCTTATTATTTTAGAGAGTGATTTTAATTGGAATAAATTGTATATCTTTTATTGTACTATTGAAACCAAGTTGCAATCTTTTCATGTAAAAATGGTGCCATAGTACTAAACGATAGGTTGTATAAATTTAAACTTGTTCCACCAGAGTCATGTGATTTCTGTCGTTCTAATGTTGAAACTATCAGCCAACTTTTCTATGATTGTATAGTTGTTCAACAGTTTTGGTAAACTCTAAACATGTGGATATACTCAAAAACAGGGATTAATTTTAACTTTTCAAAGAGAGATTGCATGTTGGGATATGTTTGTAATTTTTATACCAAATTGTGTAACTGTATACTTCTTGCTGCCCGGTTTTATCTATATCGTTGTAAGATACAGAAAAAGAAACCACTTTTTAATGTTTTTACCTCATATCTGTATGAAGTGAGGGAAATTGAACGGTTTATTGCATA